TCAGACGTGTGCTCTTCCGATCTCCCCAAAACCCCAAAACCCCTGCCTCACAAATATGTTTTCATTCTAAAAATTACATATTCTTAATTATTTAAAATTTTACTCTTTTTCATTAAAGTGATATAATTCATTATCAGTCATAAATTCTCAATTCTCATGTTCATCGAATTTCAAAGATTTTTTAGAATCATTCTATAGAGATTCTTGTTATTTCTTATCAGCTTAACTGTCATCCAAGCCACTTTGATTCAGCTACTCCTTGGCTAGTTTCTTTAATAATTCCATGTCTAATTTTTCATCCTCATCCTCCTTTTTAGAAGCTGCTTCATTATCTTCATCTTCTTCTTCATCTTCAAATTCCTCCAATTCATCTAGCATTTCAGCTTCTTTTCTTAGTCTATTGATTTCAGCAAACTATTCCTTTTCTGCAGTTTTTATCTTCAGTATTTCAGAGACAGCTGCATCTGCTTTAACTTGATCCGAGCTAGATGGCTTAAGCGATGTATCTTAGTAGAAATCAATAAACTCATCAATATTAAGCTTAGTTTGTTGGTTTATCATTTACTTGAGGTCTGTTCTTTCCTGAACGTTAAGGCAGTATTTAATAGCATACTCGTGGAAACTCATGACTAGCATTCTCTATTTATCCGGATGGCCTTCTAGTCTAGCTACCTCTTCCCCTAGAATTTGTGTTGCTTTAAGGTTGAATTTATTCATCAATCTAATGTTATCTCTCTTCTTCAAGTGAGCTACATTGCCATGAGCCATAATCAGGAATACACCCTTGATATTGATATCTTCAATCCTGTTTATTAAAGCCTTTATGAGTTGACCCTGAAATTCTTCATTGTACTTCTTGTATAGATTCCAAAATCTTCTCTTTTACCTCTTTTCAATAAAGCATTATTTTATCATGTCTTAGCTTAAGGCGCCGTGTGATAGATACATTGTAACGAGAGTCTCTCCTCTAGCTTAATCTATTTAACTCAAGAATACGCTCTCTAATGATTCAAACAGCTCAAAGTCAAAGATCTCAACTTTAGCGAAGGCTGTCATAAATTAAGCACAGTCAACAGTAGTTATAGTGTGGAAAGTTTAGTTTGTGCTCTCAGGATGTGCTTATCTCAATAACAATGCCCTGACTATGTTGAAAATTGTCATATTCTTAATCTCTAATTTTGCTAATGCGTTCAAGATTACAGCCAAGGATTAATGATTATAGGTTTCACAGTCTCTAATCGTGATTCTGATAAGTGACTCTAAAGCTGGATAGTGTTCATGTTTAACTTCAGCAAATGAGTTCATAGAATTAGCTACATCAGTTTCAGTCAAATTACTCTGATTTTTAATAATGATTTGAGAGAATTAATCAAATAGCTCCTTATCATAATACTTTAAAGCTGCAAAGTTCCATAAATTCCTACATGCTATTTTGATTGGTAAAGCCACTTGGTTTTTAAGTAAAGAAGCACATTTTGACATCAATACATCTTTTTTATCTTTTGCTAGCTTATTATCCTCTAGGAGATATTTTCCTTTTGCCATTACATACAAAGCGTTAGTTATTATATTAGCCCCTCTCATCTTATCAGTCAAGATTGCATGAGCTGTCATGTCAAATATCTCTTTTTGATTTATCCCTAACTTAAGATAAGCATACATTATAGTTAACTTATTGCTATCACTCGCCTTTTCATAAATAGTCATTATGTCCTTATATAATGTCAAGAATTTAGGAGAATTCAATATATTCTGCTTTTACTTTAAATCCTTTGGCATGAGATGAGATAGCTTAGCTAAAGTTTGAATTTTAGATACTGGGTGCATATCAGAGTCATAGCAATTTAATAGCGATTTGTGATTATTAATCATTTCCAGAGTATCTAGTTCTCGCTTCATTTTAATCTGTGACTGTCTTTCCTCCTACTAGTGCAATTCAGATTTTTACTATTAGTTCTAGATCGATTCTAGTTTCTGTAAGTTTTCAAATACTTTGGCTTCCTTATCAGCAGCAGGTTTTAATGTCTTTATCATTCTTGCAAAGTGATATTACTGGGTAGTTGTGAGGCATGTACTTCTATGCAAATGTTTTGCAATAAGTCTCATATTTAAGCTTAATTTCATCATAGCACTTATTATAATATTTATAGCCTTTAACAAACTAATATACTAATTTAATCTATATCTATACTATAATCATTGTAGGGGTTTTGGGGTTTTGGGGTTTTGGGG